TTTTATTTCTTTTATTTTTTATGTTTTTATTTTATTTCAGCATATTACGGGGGTGCAAATGTTTAGGTTACGTGTATTGATTGCCCTTGCCCCACCCAAGTCAGGGTTTCAAGTGTGTCCAGCCCCCAGTGGGTGCGCACTGCACCCATTAGGTGTAAACCACTTTCTGTAGAGACATTTAAGCAATTAGTATTGTAAAACTTTATACTCTAAGACTGGGTCATGTACAACTAATCTGGGTATGGCTCCAGTGAAAAATAAAATGCTAACCTAAATTTGGAAAAAATACATTTTACTACACTCTAGTATTTAAAATGACCGTATTTAGAAAAAGAAGAAGTCTGGGTGCGGTGGCTCATGCCTGTAATCCTAGCACTCTGGGAGGCCACGGTGGGAGAATCGCTTGAGGTCAGGAGTTCGACACCAGCCTCAGCAAGAGCGAGACCCCATCTCTACTAAAAATAGAAAAAAAAATTAGCTGGGCAACTAAAAATAGAAAAAACTAGCTGGGCGTGGTGGAGTGCACCTGTAGTCCCAGCTACCTGGGAGGCTGAGGCAGGAGGATCGCCTGAGCCCAGGACTTTGAGGTTGCTGTGAGCTAAGCTGATGCCATGGCACTCTAGCCTGGGCGACAGAGTGGGACTTTGTCTCAAAAAAAAAGAAAAAGAAAAAGAAGAAAACATATAATTAACCTAAATGGCATATATGAATTAATTCAATGACTTGGAGCAGCCTTACAGATCAGTCTAGCCAGACCCTTCAATTTACAGATAAAGAAAATCAAGTAGGTCTTTCTCCACTCGTGGAGACTGACCCGCTTCCACTCTTGCTGGAACGTATTTTCACTCTGTGTAGCTTCCTTCTTTACTTTCGATCTTTCTTTTATGTGATAAGCTGTTTGTATTTTAAAAAAGAAAGAAAATCAAGTATAGATAAATAAACTTATCACCTCCCAAATCTTGAATAAAATAATGAGAATCAAAATCCTGCCACAGAAAAAACTAAATCTCTAGAGTACATAAAAGCAAAGGGTATTAAAAGAAATATACTCTACGTTCTTTAAAACAAAAATAATTAGAAAAGAAGGATGAGATTATTTGAAAAATAGAGACTCTTCCTATCAGAGTGGTGGTTCTCAACCTGAGCTGTCTATCAGAATCGGATGTTGGGTTTTCTCATTTTGCTGTGTTTCTCAGATGCCTAAGCCCTTCTCTAGGCTAAATCAGAATCTTTAGAAGTAGAGTTCAGGCATCTGAAAAAAATTTTGAACTTTTCCTTCTTATTCTAATGTACACCTAGGGATTACAGTATATGGTAAGGTTAGACTTTCCATTTGCACTCAAAAGTAAATCATAATTTAGATAGCAGAGCCATATAATGTGACCACACATGCAGATAACTATAATTTAGTGAATTAAGTTTCTCATATTTAACAGTAATTCGAGCCTAAAATTACACCTACTTTTGTATATGCTGATTTCTGGGCCACAACGCACCCTTTTCCTTTTAGCTAAAATGCCTTTTTTCCATGCCTTTGCCTGGATAAACTCCTATTTATTTCTCAAGACACAACTCAAGCATCATCTCTGTATAAAGCACTGTTGGCAGGCTAAGTTAGATGTCCTTTCTATGAACCTCTGTGCACAAGTCTATCACTGAACACATCACACAGTGAACTGTGACAGATGATTTTCCTAACTATTCTCCCAGTAGACTCTATGTTCTGTGCTCCTTAAGGGCAGAACCTGGGCTTTACTTTTATTTTTTTTTAATCTCCAACATGTTTCAATAGATGTTAGATATATAAATTTTCGAAGAGTCTGTATTTGAAAAAGAAAAAGTATAACATTGGTTCAAAATGCTTTTCTGGGTAAGAGACAATCTGACAATTTAAACTCTAGTTAGCAGCAAGCAAATATAAGGAAATGTGTTTTTTCTGCTATGGTGTCAAAGCAGTCTCCTAAGCAATACTTTTTTTTTTTTTTTTTTTGAGACATAGTCTCACTGTGTTGCCCCAGCTAGAGTACCGTGGCATCATCCTAGCTCACAGCAACCTCAAACTCCTGGGCTCAAGCGATCCTTCTGCCTCAGCCTCCCGGGTAGCTGGGACTACAGGCATGCGCCACCATGCCCGGCTAATTTTTTCTGTGTATTTTTAGTTGTCCAATTAATTTCTTTCTATTTTTAGTAGAGACGGGGTCTCACTCTTGCTCAGGCTGGTTTCGAACTCCTGAGCTCAAACAATCCGCCCGCCTCGGCCTCCCAGAGTGCTAGGATTACAGGCGTGAGCCACGGCGCCCGGCCTTAAGCAATACTTTTTGTCTTATGCTGGCTAAGCCTAAGCCAGTGTGCATTCATGCGGGCCATACTCTACCAGGCATACTTAATAGGAAGCGTGAAAAATGTTAAATTTAAGAGACTTCACTCTACTCTTTTCACAGTTCTCTTATAAGGCTAATATCAATATGAATGAATTGTGCACTTAGAATTGGATGTTAAAGGCAAGGACAAAAAAGAAAATCAATGCCAGCTAACAGCAATCTCGTAAAAAACTGAATAAATTACATGAACCTGACATTACCAGACCGTGCTATGCCACTGTCTCTGTCCTCATTCAGTTCTCTTCCAGGCATGTCCATTGGGTTGCTATGAACTGTGAATCAAGACAAAACTGTCAGTTATAAAACACGTTGCTATTAAGGTGGACGTTGCTCCTTTTAAACAGCAAACTAAATCATGCTCATCTCATTGCATTCCCTTATTTTTTTCCAGCAGCATGACACCAACCCAACACCAAGAGCTATTACTCAGTTGAACAAGCTTTGAGAGCTATCTAAAAATTTGACACACAGTATGAAAATAATCCATGACATAATATCTAAAGAAGCAAGGGTGACTAAAAGTCATTATTTTAAAAGCGTATTCAATGACATAGAAAGATATTCACAACATACTATTAAATGAAAAAAGCAAGCTACTGGAGTAGTACGAATGATAGTTTGCTGGGGCTAAGTGCTGAGCACATCATGGTTCACTCTACGATTTTGCCTGTATCAATGTGTGTTTCAAAATCCTCCCACCATAAAAAGTTTGAGAAATTTGTCTGAATAGTATGATCCCAATACTGTTTAAAAAGCAAAAAAGGAGTATTTCTGGCTCACAAGATGGCTAATATTTATTCTTTGCCTATTTTTCATATTTTCCAAATTTTCTGTAATAAGTATGCATTGTTCATATCTATTATTTACAGGGAAAATAAATATTAATTAAAACAAGAAGGTCCAAACTGATACCAATCTGAGAACAATGACAAGTAAATGTGTATTTTCACATTCTGATAATTCCCATTAGAAGGTTACGGTGTTGGGTAACCTACTGACATGCATGAAAACATGGAACGTGAGTAGAGTCCTGGATACACACACATGAAAACACACTCTACAATCATCAATTTAATGATATTAAACAAATATACTCATATATGCCTTTTCTAGAGCATTATACTGATGCTTGTTCATCTAAATTTTAGCTCCAAGAAAACTGTTCTTATGGAACAGTGTAGATCACAAATTTTACAATGATAACAAGATTGGATATTTTCTGCAATTGGTGAATTACGGTACAAAAGCTACTCAGCCATGGAAACAAGACAGTGTCGCAATAAAAATTCCAAGAGGTAGTATAAGAAATAGTGTTCAGACTAAATTTTGGTTTGGGATTCTAAAGTTAAAACCATTATGACATAATGAGATAAATGACAAACTGAAATTTCATGAAAATGTCCGTTCCACTGATAATTCAGTTTCTGGAAACTTTAAGAATACGTCCAATAGAAAGGAATTCAGTTTTTACACTTCCTGAGAAATGTTTTCTTAACTGCAACCTCCCCAGGTGCGTTCATCTCCTGTCTTGTTCCCGCGGCTCGACTACCGATTCTGGCCACTGGGCACACCGACTAGTCTACCCACACAGCACATCGCAAACCTGCGAAGAAAGAGGCGCTCCTGATCAGGCGGAGCGGGCCCTGCTCAGAGAACGCCCGCCTGGGGCTGCAGAACTGTGAAAGACCTACATGGCAAAAATGTAAAATACACATGAAAGAGGACTGTTAGAGAAGCCACCATGCGTCAGGAAAAAAAGGTGAGCTAAGGCAGCACAAGAGCAGACCAACAGATACGGATGAAAACTTTTAAACTAAATAAGAATATTTCAAGCTGGCTTCCCTTTTTAGAAATAGGATGGTCCTCCTTTGATTTATGTCAAACAATTTCATGCCTATTTATTAATAAATCCATATATAATTAACAGAAATAAGCTTCTGCTATACAAGGTAAAAATGATTTTAAATGTTCAACCATTTCTAATCTAAAACAATGTTTTTAAGATTCAAAAAAGCACAATAATGTTATTTATATAATTTAGTATTTGCAGATAAATTCACCTTTAAAAAGTCAGTTTTAAGATTACAGTATTCTCCTGCAATTGCAGTAAGGAGAAAACCACCAAAGCACTTGGCACACAACATAAAACAAGGAGCGAAACAGAAAAAATATCTTACTGACAAATTAAAAATTGTTTTTTCTAATCTAGTGGTAAGTTACAAAGTAATGACAGAACCAAGGTTCCCAGAACAAGAGCCAGCCACTAAGGAAGCAGGAAAGCCCGGTGCAGCCCATCAGGCCACGCTCCTCGCTGTCCGAGAGAAGTGGCTGCCACACACTTGACCAAGAGAAGGTGACGACAATCTGAAGACCCAAAAGGAGCATTACAGCTTGGAAGCAAGCAGCTGGGTTACCTGTTAGTTATGCTTAACCAAAGTAGTCTAAATAGCCATGTAGGGGTTTACCAGGATAGAATAGGGGGCTTTTCTCTTTTAAAAAGTGACACTGTATTTTTCAAACTGCTAACAGATATTACTTTTCTGTAATAAGAATTTCTATAATTAGAGTACATGTGTAGCAATGCTTTCATGTCTCAACGGTCATCTCTTTCGTCAATTTTCCCTAGCTTACATTCTCTAGTTACTTCAAAATTTATCTATTTCTTTAAACTCCTTCCCTACGCACCTCTTCCTTACTCTCAGCATATGACTTTGTTTCCTACAGAATGCACATGCATACGTGTGCATACACACAGGAGAATTTATCATATTGGGGCCCTCTTTTTCCTACCATCCCACCTTCAAACTTACTCAAATTCTCACCCATCTTTGCCTCCTTCCTGCCTAAGCAGTAATAATAGATAATGTTATTCAAGATGTGCTAGGGACTTAGTACAAAATCCTGAGAGGGCCTTCTCTCCCTTCCAAAGTTAACTCTAAGACCCCTCGTTCTCCTTCAAAAACCTCCCTCTACCACTTATCCCCTCTATCTTTAATTTCATCCTCTTTGTAGCTTCCTTCTCCCACCAACATTTAAACACGGTTCAATCTCTTCCACCTTCCCCCCACATTGCTAATCAGTTCTCAAAATGTGGTCCAAGGACCCCCTGGGGGTCCCTGAGACTCTCTCAGGGGTCTGTGAAGTTTTCCATCTTCCAACTATGCATCTCTGTGAATCACGAGATTCTTACCACACCTCAGTCAAAATAACGTATCACAAAAGACTGAATACGGAAGCAGATATGAGAATCCAGCTGTCCCCTACTAAGCCAGACATTAAGGAGACTTGCAAAAAGGTAATAAAATACCACTCTTTTTACTTTTTTTTTGTGCCTTGGAAAATGGTTATTTCACAAAATATGTTATTTATGTTAACATGAAAGGGATTATTAGTGTTATTTTTAAATTACTAACTAAATATTTTTAAATTTTCAGTTTTTATTCCTAATACGCTATGTAGCAATAAATGTAACCCACATAAACAAAAGTTCTTTGAAGTCCCTAACAATTTCTAAGTGTGGAAAGGGGTCCTGATACCAAAAAGTTTGAGAACCACTGCTTGCACCTTGGACAAAAGACTTGAGTCTCTTCTCAACTCTGGCTTCTATTCTCCCCACGAAACTGCCCATCTAGGCCACCGAAAGTCTTCCTGTTTCCCAGTGCAGTCCATGCTATCTTACATTACCTTACAGCATATGTGATGCTGACTATAGTGTACTATACACTTTATTCCTTCAGTTGCCGTAACACACTCTACAGTTTATTTTTCTCAGTCTCCTTTGCGTGCTACTTCTCCTACCCCTTCTTTAAAGCGAGTATTTCCCAGGGTTCCTTCTTCAACAATCTCTCCTTCTCACTGTTTACATTTCCTAGGTCATTTCATCTATTCCTAGACTTTAAATTATCATTTATGTGCTGAGGATTCTCAAATCCATGGCAGATACAGCTGACCACCGAACAAAAGAGTTGTGCTCCTCTTTCCATAATATGAAGTAGTCTCTGGGAAGCAGCCACCCAGCCAAGGACCATATTTCTCAAATATTCTTAAATGTAGGACGGGACATATGATTAAGTTGCCCCCAACAGAATATGAACAAAAGTGGTATGTGTCACTTGCAGGCTAGTTATAAAGAGGACATGTCTTCTCCCATCATCATTCCCTTTCCATTGGCTTGATGCAGCTAAGCACAACCTTGGAAACTCACATGTTCAAGACGGTAGAACACAAAGAAGGAGACTGGACCTCTAAAACGTTGCTCAGAGAAAAACTATTTGCCAATGAGGGACAACCTTTTGTACTTTATGTTAGGGAGATGAAATTTCTATTGTTTTTAAATTATTAAACCGTCACTGGTTTTTATGTTAAAGTAGCTATACCTATCTATCTAACTAACTCCAACGGATACCTTCACTTGGATTTCCTGATACTTCTACAGATGCCTAAACCTAAAATCACCAAATCCAGTTTCTTCTACTCCTCTCAGTGAATGACACCACCGTCCATGCAATTACACAGAGGGCAAAGTGCCAAACTCGATTCCTCCTTTTCCCTCTGCTCTTCTGTCTAATTCGCTCATGCTGTCCACTCTCTCCTGCCTAACGGATCTCTCAACAACTCTCCCCCCACGGACACAGTCTTACTCCAGGTCACCACCGTCTGCTACCTGGACTGCCACAAGTAGCCTTCTGTTAAACAGGTCTTTTCTCAATCCCACGTGCTCACTTGAATCCATTCCCACTGCAGTTAGAGTATTTTTTTGCAGATATAAATCTAATCTGATCATACTGCTATATTCTGAAAACCCTTCTGTGGGGGCCTTGAGAATATGTCTCAAAAGATCTCCAACTACAAAAAGGTGTGATTGACCAAGAGCTCAGCTGCTGCGTTCCGAAATCCACTGCCACATCTGTGCAAGGTCGCCAACGGCTGGACGCAGCAGGCATACCAAGGCAGGCCCATCTTGGGGAAACCCGGGACACTTCTGATAAACAACTCTGACTCAAAGACTTCCAATGGCCTCACCAAACCTCCTCTGAACTATGCAGCAGGCTGGACGCTTCCACTGAATCTTCTATCCCTGTCTCCTTCACACAGGCTCAGGCCTTATTGCAGTCGGATGGTTTCTCGGCCTTTCCCAGATCTCTCCTCGTCTTCTTTCACACAGTCATTCCCCCGACAATAACCTGCATGTTTGATCCTGTCTTGGCACTTGTCAAAAAGCAGGCGGAGGACCCAAACTAACACACCTTCACTGGGTCTAACTGCACAGAGCATACGTCAAACTTCCTCACAGTGGCCCCCGATGCCCTTTGTAATCTGACTCTTGCTCAATTCTTTATTTCTTTCATTTCCTTTACTCCTATACTCTGTGCTCCATCCTCACTGATTTATTCACATGCTTCCCATACTGTATGATCTCTTGCCGCTAGGTCTGTGTATTAATATATACTACTGTTTCTTCCTAGAACATTTCTTTCCCCAACTGTCTGACTAATCCTTCAAGCTTAGGCCTCACATCTTCAAGGAAGCCTTCCTTGATTCTCCAACACTGAATTAGGTGCTTCTCCTCGTTTTTACTATACCCTGCTTTTAACTCTGTCCAAGAATTCACTACAGCGTAAAGTAATTGTTGTATTACTTTTGTGACTCCCACTAATTTAAATCCATTGAGGTAGGAACTGTGTCTAGTTCACCACTGTATCCTCAGGGCCTAGCAGAGTGCTTGGCATATTATAGGTGCTCAATAAGTACTTATTGATCAATGGATTGGAAATTTAAAGAAAATAAGACATGGTGCTCAAATATCCTTGATTCATAATTAAGAGTGCACAAGAAAAAGCTGCTCATTATTTAAAGTCTGTAGTTTATTAAATGAATTAATTTTCCACTCTGTATTAAAACAGAAGATGAGTATATCTAGCCTCTTTAGTGTAATTTATCTTTACAAGTGATAGTGTACTTGTATTATTAAAAAGAACAGCTTTTAATAAGCCCCTGGAGCTTTGAAAAGTATCAAATTATAAAGAAAAACGACTCTTTGTCACATTTTTACTTTGTTAAAATCAATGAAGCAATCAAGTGAGTTAAGAAAAACCAGATCTTTTATTTTTCTATAAAACATACACACACTATAAAGTACATGCCTAATACTGTGCCTAGCCCACAGTAGTAGGTGCTTAATAAATGACTGCTCATTTGAATAAACACAAATTATTCAAAAAATTAACAGAATGTTATACTGCTCAATTGAAAAAACTGTTTTCTACTAATACATATAATAAATTTTTATTAAAATTAATTATAAATAATAGTTATTACTAAACTGGCAATGAGAGAAATATTCATACTATTCTAACTGCTGTTCACTCCCTGGGCTAATACAGTTCTCTATGTACTAGAAATGCTGTCGGCAAGAATTTAGTTGAGCCTTCTAGAACATATGACCAGAAACTGTAGGAGCAGTTTGTCACTTTAAAATATTGACCTTATATATAACAACAATGATTAGCCAACCAAATTACTAAATAAGCTGTAATTCTAATAAATCTTTTAAGGAACATCAAATTTGAGTATCTGCTCATCTAAATTATAGGTCACAAAAATGTGCGCCATTTTAAAATTACTTTTATGGTTAGGGAAGAGAGGCTAGAAAAGGTATTATATCAGTCCTTCTTAGCTGAAATAGTCAAGAGAACTAGTCAGGACTTTTCACATTAATGACAGCACCTTTCAAAGATGCATCAAATTTAAAAACAAAAGACAATGAAGACAAATTAGATATATCTTCATCAGTTCTCTTTTTTCAGATACAAAATAAATATTATTTTCAAATGTATTAAAAGTATGCTTTCAAAGAATATGTTATACATAATTACAATTTAAATGGCTTTTCCGATTATAGTAATTGAAATTCTCTGTATTATAACAGATATGCATTATGCAAAATTAACTTCAAACTCTTGTTATACTGTTAACATTTTTTTAAACTTATAAAATCAAAGGAACTATTTACCTATATTACCAAGTAGTCCATTAATAACTGTGTTATTATCAGCCTTTAATGTATTATTGTCTTGATTGATAAATTCAAGACTGTCTTGTAGCCTATGGAAGGGGAGAAAAAAATAAATTAATTCCAAATTTATTTTATAATTTAATGGCAATTCTTTTGCATTCCAATGAAATTTTAAGTACAAAACAGTTTTTCCCTATTAGCACTATAAACTAACGTAATCATCTAAATCATAGATTGGCAAACTATAACCTGAGCACCAAATCTGGCCTGCTGCCTCCTTTTGTAAATAAAGTTTTACCGGAACATAGCTACACCTGTTCATTTATGTACTACTGTCTAGGGCTGCTTTGATACTGCAATGGCAGAGCTGAAAAGCTCTAACACACTGTCTGGTTCACAAAGCCAAAAATATTTACTAACTGGCCCTTTAAAGAAGAAAGCTGCTGATCCTGATTTAAATGACAAGCAAGATTTCTCCTGCTATTTTGGATCTGAAAATATTTTCTAAACATCTGGAGGAGGGGAAAAGGGGGAGGAGGAGGAGGAGGAGAAAGATAAGGCGGAGAATAATCATCAATCAGATATCCAAAAACTAACTTCAGTTAACACATTAAAAGTGAGCTATATTACTTCTTTGAGGGAATCTTTCAGGATAACAAAAATAAAATTACTTTATGCTTTTAGTGCAAAGTGTTCTTTCTAGAGATTTTAGGAATTACCAGTTAGAATTTAGAAAAGATGAAGAAACTGAGGTGATGATAGTTAAAATCAGTGATTCTAATACGTAGAATCTCTATTTCTATTTTCGTATTAAAATTTTAAGAATTAGTATTTTGGGCATCAAAATATTGTTTAAGCATCCATAATATTTTAAAGAACATCTCCCCCTTTCCTTCTTTCCTAAAAGAAAAGTAAAAAAGAGCTATACGTATTAGAAATTTACCTCATAAAACTCCTCAGAAGAGAAGTTTAAGGCATTAACAAGTAATGGAGGTTCAAGAGAATTTCTGTAGTCTAGAGTAGGTTCCTGTTGCCTCCTGTCTGACCTTGGGTTATCCTGAGGGACTCTGGCCAGCCAGTGAGCCCTGCCTGACGGGGCACCTGTACAATCATCTCTGGACTGTGCTACCACCCAGCCCTAGCCCCAGTGCTTCACTTACCAGGCTCTGGCATGTGCCCATGATCCTCAAACCAGGGTTGCCCTGTTTCAGCTTCTCTATTTTAATCTTGGCATTAACAGCTTATAATACTTCTGTGGCTATTATTAAAAATATGTATATATTTTATATATATAATGTGTAATACCCATCTGGCTGACCTAGGCCACTCCTGTCTGCACAGCTAATTCTGCAAGGGATCTGAAAACTGAAGAGCACACCCCTGCAGATACTAACTCAGCACAGCACTGCAAGACTGAAAATCAGCCCGTCAATCTAAAATGGAAATGCATTCAACATTCTACTTTCAGATACAGGTTCTAGCAAATTAAAGAAACAGAAACCCCGTCTCCTGTTTTTCAACTAAATTCAACTGAGAGTGAAATCTGGTCTCCATGAACATTTGAACTTAAGGGAAAGTAGAAAATCTGAATCTGTGCTGCAATTCTAAAAGCAGTTTATTAGTTTTCACACTTTGCGGATCTAAAATAATCCATTGTCCCCCTGCATCCATGAGCACTTACGTATTGAGACTTCCACAGATACTGCTGCCAGTTCGTGCAGTAAATACTTTGCTGAGCATGAGCTGTGGAGGGGAACTATGATGGAAAAAAGGTCAGAGAGAGGTCAAAACTAAAACAGAATGCCTGTTTTATTATGAATAAAATTTATAAGACACAGAGATTTCACAGCATAGTTACAAGAACCATGAAGTAGTATTAAAATCATAGATCATAAATTAAGTATCTGACATGCTTAATCTGAGTAAAGACCATATGAAATTCTCTCATCTTCAAAAAAATTGAGTATCTAAAAATGGATCATTAAAAAAAATTCAGAAAACCCCTTACCGAATCTGATGAATTTTTAAGGTAGATCCTTTGTAGCTCATTGCTACTGAGCCAAACATCATCTCTCCAAGCATATTGGCATCAGAAGAGCATCGAGAACCCTAAACAATAACCATATGTTAATAAAATTTCAGAAATAAAAACTTTATGACTATTTCATATATTGATTTTTATTAAAAACTCCTTTGCTATAGTTATTCTACATTAATGGTTTTAATTCTACACTGTATACACTGTTCTGCAACTTGATTTTCTTCATTTTACAATGTCTTGTTGGACTAACCATTTTTTTGTTGTTATTATACATAGATTTAACTTATTCCTCTTAAGACCTGCACAGCATTTTACAACATGAAAACACCACAGTTCCTCAGACTGGTGCCCTTTACTGAAGAGTATACAGGTCACCTTCAGGTTTCTGCTACTGCCAATGCAATGTGCAAATGAACATGCTTAACCACATCTCACGCATACATATGCAATGTTTCTCCAGGATAGACGGTAACAAGTAGAATTCACTGAATATACAGAATAATTTTTACTACTCCTATTATTCAAAAGAGGTACCAACAAAGGGGACATTTTGTATTTTTTAAAAATAAGACTTATTTGCGATCTACAGATTCAATGCAATCCCCATCAAAATTCTAATGGTTCTTAGGCTATTTATTTGGAGCTAAAAAAAAAATCCTAATGGTATTTTTTACAAAAATAGAAAAACGTTCTAAAATTCATATGAAACCACAAAAGACCACAATTAGCTAAATCGACCTTGAGAAAGACAAAGCTGGAGGCATCACACTTTCTGGTTTCAAACTATATTACAAAGCTACAGTAATCAAAACAGTATGGTACTGTCATTAAGACAAACATACGGACCAATGGAACAGAACAGAGCCCAGAAACACATCCACATTTATATAGTCAACTGATCTTCAAAAAGGGTGCTAAGAATATGCAGTGAGGAAAGAATAGTCTCTTCAATCAATACTGCTGGGAAAACTGGATATCCGCATGCAAAAGATTAAAATAGGACCCTTACACCATACACAAAAATAAACTCAAAATGGAATAAAGGCAAAAATAAAATACTAAAACTATAAAACTCTTAGAAGAAAACGGAGGAAAAACTTGACAACATTGGTGTTGGCAACAGTTTCATGGATATGACACCAAAAGCACAGGCAACACAAGCAAAAATAGACAAGCAGGACTACATGTCAAACTAAGACGTTTCTTCACAGCAAATAAAAGCAAGAGGGTAAAAAGGCAACCTACAGAATGGGAAAAAACATTTGCAATCCATATACCTGATAAGGGATTAATCTCCAAAATACACAAGGAACTCCTAGAACTCTCCAGTAAAAAACCAGTAAGGCAATTAAGAACTTGAATAGACATTTTTTCAAAGAAGACATACAAATGGCCAACAGATGCAGGAAAAATGTTCAATGTTACAATTATCAGGAGAAATGCAAATCAAAACCACAATGAGATATCACCTCATTGTGATATCTTGTCAGGTTAGCTACTATTTAAAAAAAACCAATAACAACAAAGGCTGGTGAGGATGTGAAGAAACTGGAACCCCTACACATTGTTGGTGGGAATGCAAAATGGTTCAGACACTATGGAAAAAACGGTATGGCAGTTCCTCAAAAAATTAAAACTACAATACTATGTGATCCAGCAATCCCACTTCTGGGCATTTATCCAAAAGAACTGAAATCAGAATCTCAAAGAGATATTAGTACTCCAATGTTCACTGCAGCACTGTTCACAATAGCTAAGATGTAAAAATAACCCTAAATGTTTATTAACAGATGAATGGAAAAACAAAATGTGGTATATACATACAATGGAACACTATTCATCCTTAAAAAAGGAGAAAATTCTGCAACATGTAACAACATGGATGAATCTTAAGGACATCACGCTTAGTGAAATAAGCTAGCCACAGAAAGACAAATACCGTATGGTTCCATTTATATGAGGTATCTAAAATACTCAAATTCATAGAATCAAAGAGTAGAATGGTAGTCTATCAGGGGCTGGGGCAAGGAGAAATGGGGAGTTACTAATCAGTACTAAATTTCAGTCAAGCAATCTGAATAAGCTCCAGAGATCTACACCATACAACATTGTACCTATAGTCAACAATAATGTATTATACACTTACAAATTTAAGAAGGTAGATCTCATATTAAGTATCCTTACCATAATTTTTTTTAAAAAGACTCATTTGAAATAACAGAATGTCTTGTTTTCAAAAAACCTCTTGATTAAAGAGTTACTCCTTTCCATTATTCTTTGTCTTCACAGGAGTCAGAAAATAGCTAAAGACTGAGCTTATCCATTTAGTTACTAATTAGATACCATGGCAAATATCACTAATTTCCTACCAAATATCTGTTGTCTACTTCTTCCTTATTTTTTGAAGTCCAATTTATTTCAGGGCACCAATGTGCCCAACTGAAAACGTTGAACTTCACAACCTCATCTGAAGAGAGGAGATTTAGTCATTTCTATACTTATGGCTGGAGTAGCAGTTTTCAGAACTATTCATTTATATGCATTTGACAGAGGACTGATCAATGAGGTAGAAATGAAAGTCAGTACAGACGGAGATGCCACCTTGTGCTCGCAAGGCAGTAAGCACACACTAACTCTGAGTAGAAAGTTAAGGGAATCTTGGTCTCTGAGGACATCTTGAAGCCTGTACGGCATACCTCAAGAATTCTTACCATGTGAGGAAAATCATCCCTGATTTGTTCAAGCCGCTATTTTAGAGACTATCCCAATGCCATTGTCTGGTGGGTTCTGTTTTGTTTAGTTTTGTTTTTTAAGACAAAGTCTGACTATGTTGCCCAGGCTGGTCTCAAACTCTTGAACTCCTGGGCCCAAGCGATCTCCTGCTGCAGCCTCCCGAGGAGCTGGGACCACAGGCACGGCCACTGCACAGGCAGCTTCTCAATTCTTAACTGATGTAACTAACAATCAACGAGGAAGACGACCTAAATAACAATCTAAGATAGTAAATAAGGATTATCTACAAAATTCATTAACCTGTTCCATCATGGACAATCAAGAATTAGGAGTTTTCTAAAATATTTAGAAAATTCTAACAACAGTAAAGCAATACGGATCCCCATTTTACAACTGGAGGCCAAGAAATACACCTGCACACTATTTTTCTTTTTATAATGTGATTCTTTTATACTCTTGTGTCTGTTTATTGCCTTTTCAAGAAAAAAGTCATTTTTGCTATACTTAGGTAAATAATAAGAAGCAATTTACTTATTTTGGGGATTTGGTTAAGATCAAATTTTTATTTCAAGGCATAGTGGTTTGGAAACAACATTTCAGAAACAGAGTAGAATAATATTTTTAGTGATAAAGTAGTTTTGCTTTGTTTTGTTTTTGAAGATCAATGCCAATCTTACTTGGCAACCTAAATTACCTCAGGCTAGTGACAGAGATGAGAGCCTTCCCTTATGAGCTCATTTTTTTCCTAACTCTATTGTTATTTTGACTAAAATTATTGTTTCTTATATTAAGCAACCTATATAAATTTAAATGTCAAGGCATTTATAGATTTTTACTACTTTACAAAGAAAATAATCCTCACAAAGCAAAATACAATAAAAATAAATTGCTCTTTGAATTTTATGAGACTATATAATTTGCTATTAAGGTTCTCTTTGCCCACTCTAAGATACACCAAATAGTTATAAATATCACTAGCATGTTAGGTATTTTAAAGTGACAAAATCCACAGTAAAGGTTACAATTAAATTATAAAGTGCTATTATCATTGCAGCCTTTTTTAAATGCCTTATGTCAAAGGTCTATTCTTTCCAAGTACTCACTGCCAAAAGCTAGCAATCTGTTATAAACTGTGTAACTCAAAGATAATGTTCTAACTACCTGAAATCATATTTTATCAAGTGTTACGAACCATGCTACAATAATTTGATGCTTCCTTGCTAAAAAAACAAATCTCTAGGGATTCTGATGCAAAATGAGATTATAATCACTCAATGCTTCAGGGTTTCTACCATCTGGATCAGTTTGCTAATATTTATTTTAAACCACACAATATAAGAAAGGTAAGTGTGCACAACTGATCAAATTGGAAAACTTCCCAAATTGTGCAAACCGGCATAACTCATGATGGTGTTACGTGGCAGAGCACTATTACAGTTTGTTATGGTATTGTGCCTGAGGTGGAGGAGGACAGAAGAAGGCATCTAACATCTGGATTTTTAGTAATTTCAGACTCCTTTCGCATATACTGTCCTATTGATAAAGTATAAGGATCAATTTCCGTCAAAACATAATCTCATTACCGATAATTTAAAAACCCAAAATTCTATTTTGGTATTGCTAAATGTAAAATACTTGTGATTCATGCCAACTTGGATGATACAAATAAATTCACATCAAATGACATGTGCTTAGCATGCAATCAAACACTGATCTTACGTAAAATGTACTAGATTTATAGAGAAGTTCTTATGTAGTTACAGATTTGATTAATTCTGTATTTTAAAAGAAGAGTCACATCACTTGTTGAAAAATAAAACTGCATTTCTGATTGTGTATACTTCCAATCATACTCTAATTTCATAATACAACTGTATATTTATCTTCATATTTCAATAATGAAAAAGTATATAAGAAATTATTCTGATGACCAATAAATCTGAATTGGGAAATAAAAGGAGAAAATAAAATACTCCTGCTACCTATTCCCAAGCTCTCTTCCCCTATCCTAAGATTTATCAAAGTTGATAAACTTACTTGTTTAATTATCTACCCCTCCAGCTTCAATGTAAGATCTAGGAAGATAAGAACTAATCACTATTATATCCTCAGTCCGCAGGATGGTGCTCAAACATATTTATAAATGAATGAATAAATAAATGACATCAATGATCTTACCTGATACTTAGGACACTGGTCTTTTATATCAGAAGATGAAGTCAAAGAACTATCTAAAGAGGAAGAACTGTCTCCTCCAGGTTTTAGTTGGCAGCATTTCCCAAAGACTTTAACTTGAGCATCACTACAGAGTTTCTGAAACACAGAGAACAGTCCCATTCATATCTGAACAGATTTTTCACCATATAAAAATTTAATCACAGTATAGAAACCTTTAGGAAAACCACAGATGAAATAAAGCAAAATAATATAACCTTAAATATAATGACTAATCTGCATTTTCCTGTATCTTCTCCAGTACTGCTTTCTAGTCTTTGTCTCATAACTATATTTGTGGAATCTGTATGGTACTTTTCGTACCAACATTATGAAATCACGGGAATTTTTCTACATTACCATGGCCTACACAATATTCATTAATACTGACAATATACTGAGGCAGTTTTCAAATTATTTGGTCTCAAGACTCCTTCATGCTCTTAC